ACCAGTATCTCTAAAGCTAACAGAACCAAGGTGCAGTACGTTTATCCGTATTGTGTGTTTAAATCTTAAGGTCAAACCACGCGCGCGTTTATCTACTCGTCATCCATTATACACATTTATCATCAACTGACATCGCTGGAATACATAATCCCAAGTTACAATAAATAGTGTTATCAGTAAATGCGTTTAACTATGACAGCTGGAATAGGTATGAAATAGGGACGACACACAGTCCAAAATCATCCTGTGAATGTGTAATAAACTCCTCGTTTATTTACTCAGGTGAGAAACTTCATTTTCTTCTACTTGTTAAAATATTTGTGCTATTATGTCTTAGTTTAATCTATCGTACCTTAACTATATGTTGCAATCCTTTGCACTTCCTTCAGGTTTGTGTGCAACGTGGCCTCCTTCATATATTTTTCATGTATTCTGTATTACTGTTTAGGATTGTTTATTACTGATTAATACTACGATGTTTTGTGATTTATATTTCTTATTATTATATAGATATTTATATAGCGCTATAGTCCATCCCACATGCATTCTCAAAGCGCTTCTTTGTTTTTCTCTCGATCAATTGGATGTGAATTCAGCGGCACATAATACCAATCTCAACTCCCTGGGGATCATACAACTCTTGCTGCCACTAGGCGCACCGAGTTAATGCAACTTTCTCATCCTTTCGAGGTACCCATTCACAGCTGGGTGGATTGGGACACATAGTCACAGTACTTTGTCCAAGTTTACTGCACGTTGCTGTACCCGCAACTGGGTGTTTGCACGTATTCATGTGGCCACCATTTGCCAACGGATTCGTGGGTTCTTTTAAGTGCACAGGGTTGTGTGCTGTACACTAGGGGTTGTTACAACACTGAAAGAGTCTGCACACAAAGCTGACTCCAAGGTTTTTACGCCAGGTCACAGGTGGGCTCGATCCGGGCACCTCCAAGCTCGCTGGATTACTAGCCTGGCGTCTTAGACAGCTCGCCCCCCACGCCCCCTAATAGACTGCATGAACGCCCACTGGGATGATGTGTGGAGTTAGACAGCTCGCCCACCACGCCCCCTAATAGACTGCATGAACGCCCACTGGGATGATGTGTGGAGTTAGACAGCTCGCCCACCACGCCCCCTAATAGACTGCATGAACGCCCACTGGGATGATGTGTGGAGTGTATCGGTAACCCTGACTATTGCATTACATTGTGAACACTATGCTGTTTTTGGACTGTTATAGAATGTAGATTGCATGAGTTAGTGAGTGAGTATGGTTTTACGCCGCTTTTAGCAATATCACCGCGGGGGACAACAGATATGGGCTTCACACATTGTACCCATGTGGGGAATCGAACCCGGGTCTTCGGCGTGACGAGCGAACGCTTTAACCACTAGGCTACACCCACCGCCCCGTAGATTGAGCCCACTGGGGTGATGTGTAAACTATTGCATTATGTGAGTACATTAGAATGCGTATCGTCATTAATGTAGTTTGTCTCGTGCCTAACGAACCACATGAAATGTTTATGTACTTTGATAGCTGATTGGATTGTTAACATGCTCTAATAATTAATTGTAAATCATTTTATTATTGACTGATTATATACAAATTCATTCAGTGGCTGTGTAATAAACTCATCGGTTATATACTCAGGTCGTGTATTGTGTTTGGGTTGGTATAGTAGAACCTCTTGCCAAGCGAGCTGATTCCCCAAAGACTCCCGTTTTATTAGAAGAGAGTAGGAGATGGCGAAAGTGAAAATAACATGGTTCAGTGACTGTCAAACCGGTCTCTCTCAGTTAGTGTTGTTTAAGGGACATCAATCAATAGCCAGACATGAAGATATTTGAATCAATACAGCATTGCTCGCCAGGGCGCACAAAGACTTAGCTATGACAGGCACTGAAACCTGAAGCATAGTGTATTCATTCGCTGATACGACCAGTGGCTGTTGGAGACCTACTTTCTGTCACAGATCCCCAGCTACATCCACTATTGGAGAGAGAGAGAGAGAGAGAGAGAGAGAGAGAGAGAGAGGGAAGAGCCATTCCTAATTATTATTTTGTTCAGAAATATGCCCCAGATGGAGAGTTTTGCTTACTATATAAATACTTGTAGATCGATTGATGGTGCTCAGTCAACACAAATTGTTGGTGGAAGAAATTAGTCTGTCTCGCAGTCCCTGGACCACATTATTTCCCCCACAGCCTAGTCCTACCTGCAGTGCTAAAGCCCTAAATGAAGCAAGTCTAGATTCCCCGAGCTTCTGAATCGTTAGTCTCCTCGGATTCCCTTTTTTAATTTAAATGGGTTTGTTTGTTACTATCAAAATCATATATATTCAGAGACTAAGCGATAGTCTAGAAAGAAATGTACACCCACCTTCCCACCCATGCAAATAAAATGAATGTGCTCTAAGGGTGTTGCAAAGAAATGTACAAAGAGAATTTAATTCAATACAACCGTCACACACAAAAAGGTATAATATTTGCAATTTGAGATCACCCGTTGAACACTGCTTTTTCTCTTTTCCTCCAGGGAAAGTATAGAGCACGCATATGAACGTTCTGTTCCTCAACAGGGGCGGTGGGGTAGCCTAGTGGTTAAAGCGTTGGCTCGTCACGCCGAAGACCCGGGTTCGATTCCCCACATGGGCACAATGTGTGAAGCCCATTTCTGGTGTCCCCCGCCGTGATATTGCTGGAATATTGCTAAAAGCGGCGTGAAACTAAACTCAGTCAGTCAGTCTGTTCCTCAACAATACATTTGCCTTTCATCGAACATTGTTGAAAAGTACCCACCCAGTGATCACGACGCGACAATGTCCCTTCTAGGATTCCATACTAAGCAGATGACTATCGGAACCGTTTCTATTCAGTTCAACAAAAGAGCAGACAATGATCAGTGTATCAATGCTAATGATGCCCATACTTCTCTTCTTTTATAATCCTGGGCCCAATAGGCAACTAGCCTGTCAGGCAGGTCGACCCATAATAAAACGAATATTGACATAAGCAAAGATGTCTCCATGGAGATCACATGCTGCAACTGTATTTTATTTGTCTAATATATTTCGTATTGATTCAGATCAGTCCACCGCTGGTATTATTAGGTATTGTGTGGAGGGACCCGTTATTGATCAGGCAGATGACAATGGTACTATATGTTTATATATATGTAATATATAATATATTATTATTCCTGAACAATATCAATATTACGGTTAACTAGTAAAGCTATTACAGGAAATATTGTTATGAAAAGAGTCAGAGAAGCATAACGCCTGTGAGTTCTTGGAGTCAGTATGCTGATGGTAACGATATCCTCGTGTAACTAAACATTTACAACACATTGATAATTCTGGTAAACTGTATAAGCATTACATGTAATACTGTTGTGAATAGAGTTAGAGAAGCATAATTGACAGTCTGCCTCGCAGTCCCTGAACCACATTATTTCCCTACAACATAGCCCTCCTAGACTAACAACTAGTCTCTGAAATGAACATATTTTACTGAAAAAAGTTCATAGTAAAAAAATATATATAATGAAAAGGAGCCCTGAGACTTTCTTCATTTTCCTGAAGCTGAGGAAATCTAGACTTGCCACATTTTCTAGACTTGTGTGGGCTTTCTTGGATATATTTGCTTCAGGGTCTGTACGAGAGACTATAGCCCTCCCTGCAGTGATAAAGCTCTAAATGAAGCAAATCTAGATTTCCTCAGGTTCTGGCTATGGTTTCCCTAGGGTTCCTTTTCAATTTGAAAGGGTTTATTTGTTACAATCAAAATTATATTTTCAGGGACTAAGCGTTAATCTACATTATCGAATACTATGCCAGTATTGCATAACAAACGCATGCAGGTAAAATATTCTTATTTACTCAGTTGCTAGTGATTAGGTTGGTGATCGTAACTCTAAGGTTGTCTTGTACAATTGACTGACTGAATAAGGTTTTACGCCGCTTTAAGCAATATTCCAGCAACATCACGGCGGGGGACACCAGAAATGGGCTTCACAAATTGTACCCATGTGGGGATTCGAACCCTGGTCTTCGGCGTGACGAGCCAACGCTTTAACCACTAGGCTACCCCACCGCCCCTGTTTTGTACAGGGGCACCCTGGTCTTAATATATAAGATCAATACTTATGGTTGCCAGAGCAACAACTGTTAGCAAGCCATGAGCATAATCGCCTTAATGAACCCCAAAGGAGAACAAGTCCCAACGCATCTACAAGTGGGAGTATTTGCTTTAACATCGGAAACAGGTTCTGTAAGGTGTCAGTCCTTTATCCCAAGGCATCCGGAACATGTTAAGATTCAATTTAGGTCTCTTGTGTAATGCCTGCATATACATATGGCAGATGTTTCACATTTATTTCGAAATTGCTGATATTTTCATTTGTTTTTAAGATTTCCTAAATTAAATCAGAGAAAATTGAATCGAATTGAAGATATCTTAAATGCATTAAAGATATCTCAAACAGAGATATTTATGGATATTTGGATCTAATTGTAGATATTTCAAATACAGATCATGATAAATATCTACATTTCGTGACATCACATCGTGACATGGTGATGTGATAAAGGATATCTTGTGAAGAGATGTTGTTGTCTTAAACTGAATTAATCATATCAGAATGATATTTAAAGATATAAACAAATTCATGTTTTAATGATATCAGTAATTTAATTCCTGACGACCGTGAGTTCCATTCCTTTACAAAGAGAGTGATCCCATTCCAAGGCTGTCGTCACTTTGTGGAATGAGGGATGATCATTACCTGCTACACAAAACAAGAAGGGCGGATCTGGAGGAATAGCTTTGTGGTTAAAGCGTTCCCTCGTCACGCCAAAGGCCAGGGTTCGATTCTCCATACTGGTACAATGTGGGAAGACCATTTCTGATATTGCTTGAAAATTGCTAAAAAGCTACCTAAAACTAAACTCACTCACTAACAATACAAGAGCAACTGAAGTACTTGACAAACGTACCTTGGATCATACGAGTGGATATGGCAGCCGTAGGCTGTAGCTACTGCATCGTCGAAACTCCAGTCGTAATTGATCCTGAAAGGGAACAATAACTATGAAATAGATATCACAGTATCAAAGGTAATCTTACAATCTGATAAGGGCTGCAGGTAGCCTGGTGGTTAAAGCGTTATCCTGTCACGCCAAAGACCCGGGTTCGATTCCCCGATTGGGTACAATGTGTGAAGCCCATATCTGGTGTCCCTGCCGCGATAGTGCTGGAATATTGCAAAAAGCGGCGAAAACCCATTCTCTCACTCACTCACGACAATCTGACATAATCAAACAAGATCTGAAGTGTACCAACCCAAAATATGCTTCCATATCTACATGCTGTTTGTACATCTTGATAGGGAATGGATTCTGGTCTGCTTCAAATACTACAGTTCCAACGCGTTTTATTTACAAAAATATTTAGGTTCATACTTTTAATTACTACAATATATGATTTTCCATCTGTGTCTACTAGCTAAACTGTCTAGTCTCCATCAGGTAGCTGTTCCATAATTATAACTGGCTGATCTACTTGGTCCTTCGATTCTGAGGACAACCACTCGCAGACCTCTGGGGACTAATTTTTACCATATCTTACCATAATTTACTACATTTTACCATATCTTACCATTTATAATCTATATATGAAAGATGAGGTGGGGGTCGTATTTTCGTGAATTTGTCAACAATTCATTTATTTCTGTCAAACTCCAGATTTTACTAGACACAGTCAGGTACAAATTATACAGCCCAAAAATCTACAGCAGAACATATTCAAAGTATGCCTTTTGAATAAACATCAGTCCTTGATCTGTTATCAACAAATTCGATCTTTTCATAACAAATAAATTATCCTTTAGATTAATTGTCCTTAAGATTAAGGTATCGAACCGCACTTCTATGGACATAATGCATTGCAAATTCCAACACTGATTAATCAATTATTGTATATATTGTACAGTTTTCATCCACTGTGTCTCCTTTCAGAACAAGGTCTGGTAGCCTAGTGGTTAAAGCGTTCGCCCGTTAAGCCAAAGACCCGGTTCGATTCCCCACATAGGTACAATGTGTGAAGCTCATTAAAGAAGATGATATTGCTAAAAGCGGCCTAAAACTAACTCTCTCACTCACTCACTCACTCACTCACTCACTCACTCACTCACTCACATGAGCAGAAAACAATGAAATCAGTGATTCGTTGAAATATATAATCAAAATATTAGCTGTAAAAATGCAAAAAAGTAAAATATTTTTACGCAAATGTTCAGAAAGTCTCTGGAATAATAGCATTGAAATATTATTGCTTGGTATTTACCAAACATGATTTATTATACCAACCATATTTTGCAGCGGCAATTGTCTATTTTTCTGTTATAACTTTAAATATGATTCATGGTTGACAGTACCAGCTTGAGCTGACACACCCTGTCCAACAAGTTCACTCGGTCCTCTCCATTCACTTGAGTATGCGAGTCCCAATGGCCTCACCACTGTGTCGTTGAAAGGACCTATTCACTGTTTATGGGCTTTGTGTGTCGGTTGCCGTGCAAATCAATGCGGCGAGACGACATGTATGGTTTAAACATAATTTTATTCCGTCAATACAGAAACCTGGATAGGCGAACAAGCCAAGTGGCTTATATAAACGCCGCTCTAGTACACGGTTCCAATATTGCTGGATACATATTTGAAATAGTCCGACAAGAAAAGAATACTACTGAAACAAAATTGCACTCAGAAAAATGATTGAATAATAAATATTTGGTTATGGTGTTGGTTGTGCCTAGCAACGAAAAGAGCTGCCGCAGAAAATCAAGTTATATAAATCTTGTCTTGCGTTGAATATACATGTATATGTAGAGGTGATAATCACTGGAAGCGCTTACTTTTAGAAACGAACTGGTGTAATGAGTTTAGAATGTCACAATTTGTTGAGTTATCCAATGCGCCGTTACCGTATAAGGTAGTTTTCACATCGTATCCTTGAATATAAAAATACACCGTTGTTCTTAAATTTTGATAGTTCCGACATGTAAAATGGTAGTGAATGACGTCTTCGTTATAATGACCACATGAACACTTAGCTGTTACTGATATATGTCGATTATATCTGTCTGCGTTCAGATCACTACAGCCGAGCTTGAGGCGACAATGGATGATTTGACAAAATCTAGTCCCAAAATTTAAATCAAAGTAGTTGTCAGTTTCTGTTGGATTTATCATGGTTTTAAACTGCCTCACGGAAATAGCGTTTACAGCTCCATCGGGCAATGAATTCCACGACATAATCGCGCTCGGTAAAAATGACTGAGAATATCTTTGTGTTCTACAGTAAATAGTAGTTTGAATGGAAGTACTATCTCTAAGATTATAGTTGCTTTGTTGAAATACTCTACCTGGTACAAGATCATTCAGATAATCAGGAGTCAGACGATGATACATTTTATAGAAAGTTATAAGTTTAGAGCGATATCGTCTTTGTTTCAGTGTGCTATAATTAGTTTCCTTGTATATTTTATCAAGACTGGTGCCACGAACCGCACCGCATATAGTTCTTAATGCGTCTAAGTGTAAATTTTCCAGTAAAATCGCCTGTTCAATCGTACAATTATCCCATATATGACAGCAGTAATCAAAAAGTGGTAAGATAAAGGAGTTATATAAAGTAGTTAGCGTTTTCCGAGATAAACGATAGACATGTATATGGTACTGTACAATAATCCTAGTTGTCTGCCTCCAGCACAAAACACGAAACAAGTGTTAGGGTTATGGTTGGGTAGTTAACGTCTGAGACATTGATATTCAGGTATGGGGTGGGGGAAGGTATGGGGTGGGGGTACAAGACTGTAGATTCTCAAGTACTCAGCAACAGAAGCAGACGTGGAAACGATCAACCTGAGACCCAAGACAAGACATGTATCGATCAAGGTAAACGGGTTTCGCGTGTATGTAGCCAATCGATGAACAATCTCTGTGAGGATACTGTTGCTATGGCAACGAGGCATCGACCAGACCTACCCAAAGGAGTAAATATTGCAGGGTGTCTTGATGTTATATGGAGGGTCTTCACAAACGTTCCAGCCACCGTCACCGACGTTGCCTCGCCTGACCATCTTCTTACACGAAAACTGAACGCTGTTGACATAACTGGAAAAAAATAATTAAATATTAATATTGAAACTGCCCTCGGCAATATTCCAATTATATGGCGACAGTCTGCTAATAATCAAGTCTTGACCTGACGATCAAGTGAATCACATCATGAGCATCGATCTTTGCAATGTGGACATGATGACAACTGTCAACCAAATAAGCGAGTCTGACCACCCGATCCCGTTAGTCGCCTCTTACAACAAGCAAGACCAATTCTAACTCGGATCTTCACGTGTCTATATGTTATGACAATAAGTAACTTGCTTGTTAAAACGGTTATAAAACACTTAACAATTACCGTTATCCTCCACTGTTAAAAACCTACAAAGGCATTCAACCTTAACAAGACAACATGTAGCTCTCATTTGTTCTTGCAGCTAAATGACTGCATTTCAGCATCAGAATATTCTGTCCTATATTGGAAGGTTTGTCAACCAAACCCACTAGCTTTACTGTCAATTTCCACTACCTTTTCAAATTCATTAAAATTTAAAATATTCATATCTAACGCAAAAAGGGATGCGTTTACCTGATTAAATTAATACATTTGTTAAAAATTCATATTTTCTTACTTAAAGGAGAATCGTTTCCATGGCAACGAACAAATATTTAATGAGCCTGGTATGGAGTTGTAACATTTCAAATGGTATCATGTAACTGCAGGCTTCCCTGTGGCATTCCAGGTATGATTACAGGTGCATCCTCACATTGCCACCAGGCCACCAAGGATTAACATGCAATGTGAATGAGAGGGTATGTTTTCAGTGCAGTGAGAGTGTTGAGGATGAAAGACACGTTCTGTTGTATTGCCCTATGTATGATGATTTGCGTGAAAGTTTATATGAAAATGTCTGTTTTAGCTATCCCAACTTCTTAGATCTTTGTGATGATGATAAATTAGTTTTACTTTTTAAACACCATGTATATTTCAGTGCCAAAACCTGCTTTTATATCTTGCAAAGAAGAAAACATATTTTATACGGATAGATTTTACACTGTATGTACCTATATAATTATGTATTATTTAGTATTATTAATGTATTAATACATTAGTCTCTCACAACCCTTAAAGGGTGGCTCACTTATATGCTATATTTTATAAATATATTTATATATGTATTTTATGTGAGGTGAGACTGAAATAAAATATCTGTCTGTCTATCTGTCTGCATTAGTTTTAAAATGTTCATACAAGCACAGGGGTTTCTTTGATGGGCATTTTAGAAGTTGAGTCGATGAATTCCTGGCTTCCTATTAGTTGTATAAGCTCTACTTCAGTCCTAGTATGTCACCCTACTGGCTTCCTATCAACTTACTCAATCTGTTATACAAGCGTTGTACATCAACCTCATTTATTGTATAAACAACTCATTTCCTATCTACTGTAATAACAACTCATGTACATACTCTCTCAATTTGTTACTCATGTATCACCTGCTTGACAACGACATTAGAATCTATGTGGAAATGTCGCCTCCACAGAATACAAGAAGCTGTATATCCATAATAATTGTCATTCTTCTTCTTTAAGCACAGGGGTGGTGTCAAAATCTCACTAAATGGTGAACATATTTCACTTAGCAATTAGTGTCATGACCTGAGATATGTTAACTAACTTGGTGAATATGAAAATAATTAAACGAAAGAATTAGTATTATTTCACTGTTCAATAAGTGATCAGTTATTATATGATACCATATAAAGAGTTGTATGGCAAAATGCTCCATTGCAAAATGGCAAATGCACAGGTTGGCATGGGGGGTACTTATATATGGGGAAGGGGGATGCAGCAATTTTGTACATACAAATATTCAGAAATTTTACATGTGGAAGTGGTGGTAATTGATCATGTACATGACATTGGGGGTGGGGGTGTGTTTGTCACTTACTTTGTACATGCTTCTCCATAAAATTCATCATTGCCACCCAATCTACACCCACCCACACCTCCACCCATAAATTATGAATGGTCGCTAAGATGGCTAAACATTAATATTATAGCTGTGTTTATGCACTGAACATTATTGATACTAAATGAAATGGCATGTAAATTGATATTTATGTGATTCAGTTTGATGTTGTGGATATTTGAATAAAAGTTTTTGAGATGACCCCTGGTGACGTCTATGTTTAAGCCAATCATCATGGGTGACTGTATCACACATTGTGAACAATAGGTGGTGGCAAAGATCCTGTCTCCACGGTCTGACGGGCCTATTATATTAGTGAGAAACAGTATACATTTCCTGTAACCCATTTGAAGTTCGGGTTATAACTGACACGAAGAAGCACATACACACAGGCAAGCTCTTTTTTAGATATACTGATATACTCGTTTAGATGAGGCCCAGATAAGCTGCGTATATACGGGTAAAATAGGCATAGAAAATTTCCATTTACGCGTTGAAAAATATTTGTTGCTACCAATTACGCATTTAAAATGTTAGATACGCAAAAAGTTTAAAACAAATGCGTACGGAATATATTTATAAAAATTGCTTGCGTAATGAAGACATCGATTGCTATCAAGTTGTACTGTTAGTATAGGACAAGTGTTGTACTGTCAGTATAGGATGAGTGATTTTTTATGAAATCATTTCCATTATATTTAAGTTAGTTTTGATTAGGTATGACATAAGGCAGAACATACCTGTTTAGTAAACTTACTCAATGACGTAATACTTAGGTGAGTAAAATGACTGAAATACGCACATATTTGAAAGCAGTGGGTAACCGAAAATGAAATACCCACTCAACATTCATAATACCCACTCCAAAACAATACAGTGGGTACAGTACCCACATGAGCTAAATCTTATCTTGAGCTCTGCCGTTTAGATTTTGGAATTTGTTTTAAATCGAATCATTCGTGGACATGACCTTACTTGTGGTATATCTGTGACAGCTGCCGTCTGTCTAATGTCTTCAACACCTGCAGTGTGGGCATGGGTTGTCCTCCTGGCACTGGATTCTGAAAGAAATAGGGGACAGTGGAAACACTCCCTGAAGTGAGCTGAGGTGACGTTTTCACCGATCTGATCAGAAATTCAGCCCCTGGCAGTTTACTGTCGAGGTAAAGCCTAAATTGAGGTAGGCCACTAATCTGATGGACGCCCCTCTTGGGTTGCTGGTAAACCACAAGGCGTTAAATTAATGGAATCGAGGAACCTGAAAGACATAATTATTCAACAAACTGCAGTAATCATCCATTAATATTCCATGTCATATGTAACAGAACCATGCCAGCTCCATGTGTATGACATGTGAATCCTCGATTCCTGGGTAGGAAATCCAGTGGTTGATATTATGATTCAACTTAAACTTATCAAATGAGAAAACCTAGGCTACTTACTGATATCACAGCAGGCGTTGCTGTCTGGGCAGGTGCTGGTACATTTTCCTGGGAACCTCCACTATTCATGTAGACAATCTGGATGTTCTTGAGATTGGTCCATTTGAACATTGCAAACACCATAAAAGACATCAGCACAAAAGCCAGCAGCACCCGGCCTTTCGAAAACTGTACCGGCATCATGGCTCTTCAGTTTGTGGGTGAAGTCCCCGACCCCAGACTCTGCAACAAACAGAAACAATATTTTAGATATGAACATTGACCCTTAGAGTCTTTCCACGTATTTATAATTAGAAGGATACACATAAAAGGGTGGATGGACAAGTGGAAGCCCAGATTATATACTGATGTGCAAAAGAAAGTACACACTTGGTGCTTTGAGACTATCAAAACAACGTAAATATTTTGCTAGCAATGTTCCAATTGGGTACGATATCTATGGTGTTATTGCAACAGGTACACAATTTTTGTGACTTGAGAGTCGCAATCAAAACACTTTTCAAAATATTACGCTGTTTTCAGGAAAACATTGTACCAACGCATCAGGTGTGTACTTTCTTTTGAACGTCAGTTTATATTAAAGCTGTATTAGCCATGCTGTCAAGTCAAAACACAAACATGAGGGTGTAGAGTGGGGCAGTGGTTGTTTGAGGACAGTATGCGTGGTGGGTGGGTGGGTGTGGGTGGGTATGCTGGAGCAGGAGGGCCGTGTACAGTGGGCCTGTGTGAGTTTAGTTTTAGGCTGCACTCAGCAATATTCCATCTATATGCGGTGGTCTGTAAATAATCGAGTCTGGATCAGACAATCAAGTGATCAACAGCATGAGGGTCGATCTACCCAAACGGTCAACCAAGTCGGCGAGCCTGACCACCCGATCCCGTTAGTCGCCTCTAACGACAAGCATGGGTTACTGAAGATCAATTCTAACCGCATCTTCTCCGGTTCAACCGCAGCCCAATTCCTTTTAGTCTTACGGGGTGATGCAGTTCGCCAGGATGGGATTCATCACAGTTTGATCAATGACAGTTGATTCTCAGTCATTTCAAATACAAAAATCAACATTTACTTGTCTTGTAGAGATGCGAATGTGAATGTTAACGTATCGATCATGAACGTCATACCCTTAAATGTAAACTTGCACCACCTGTTGACGATTTAGGGGTTTCGAAAACACACACACACACACACACACACACACACACACACACACACACACACACACACACACACACACACACACACTTTGAAAATTCCTTGATCCGCCTATGGTAGATGTCATCCTATATTTGAATACTAAAACGTCAATCAGCATCATAAACTGAATACAAAAATACCCTGTCGTTTCGTCTCTGGATCGCCATGACACCCAGTCGATCAAAATATTCAACACTTGAATTATAAAATTCCGTTTAAAACTAAACGTCAACAGTCCACAGTTTGTTGAAGTTACTATTACTGACGAGTTCGATCAGGTTTCTTTTTCAAGAGAAAGAGAGCAGTGCCTCAAGGGCATACTTTTGACGCCATTGTTCTGACTGCCAAGGTGCACACTTACATTAGAGCCCCTTGTGAAAGGGAAATACAAGACTTCGTGTATTTTGTCTCCTTATTAAGGTTTCATGGGCAAAGTATGTTGTACATACAACCTGGCTTCTCTTTCCTATTGCTGGTGGGAAGAAAGTTAGCCTCGTTTTTTTCAAAGGGTCAAGGACATGATCAGGGGACGCTACTCTCATGTCAAATATCCATGCAACATAAATTTCAAGTAAAGACGTCCGGTGTTCGAGCCAATATGATATTTCAGTGTGCTCTGAAACGTCAGCGTTATGTCTAGTAATTCTATTAAAAATATCCCTGAGTCTAGTATTGTGCCCGGATCCATGGAACGTGAATCGCAGAGTATTAGTCAATATATAACCGGCTCAGCGGGTTTCAATAAAAGATGAATGTGTTAGTATAGTCACGCGATGTATACATAATTCATTGCGAAGAATTTACCCTCTAACGCGTTCACTCCGTTACACTGATTATGTGTCATCAAAATTTCAGCGTTTAAGCAAAACGGCCAAATGTAGTTTGCACTTGGATCGATCTACCAGTATGGTCAGTTTGAAAATGAAAACTAATATACTACTTAACTGCAGCATCCTGGTGTACGTTTGCTGTGTATATACTTTGATTACTTGATACAGAATGAGGGGCGGTGGGGTAGCCTAGTGGTTAAAGCGTTGGCTCGTCACGCCGAAGGCCCGGGTTCGATTCCCCACATGGGTACAATGTGTGAAGCCCATTTGTGGTGTCCCCCGCGGTGATATTGCTGGAATATTGCTAAAAGCGGCGTAAAACTAAACTCACTCACTCACTCACTGATACAGAATGAACATTATGCGAAGGTGTTATTAACCCACGGTGCATGACGGACGCATTAAGTGAGTGAGTGAGTTTGGTTTTACGCCGCTTTAAGCAATATTCCAGCAATACCACAGCGGGGGACACCAGAAATGGGTTTCACACATTGTACCCATGTGTGGAATCGAACCCGGGTTTTCGGCGTGACGAGCGAACGCCTTAGCCATTAGGCTTCCCCACCGCCCCCCGACCGCATCCGTGGTGTAGTGGTTAGAGCGTCCGCCCGGAGAGCGGAAGGTCGCGGGTTGGATCCCCGACCGCGTCATACCAAAAGACGTTAAAATGTGGTACTTGTTGGTCCCTGCCTGGCGCTCGGCATTAATGGGTACAATAAGGACTGGTCGGCTCGGAGTCAGTATAATGTGTCTGAGTGGGGTATTCATGCTACACTGCGGCGTGGTATCTCAGTGGGCTAGCACTATAAAACCAGCTTAAGTCTGGGCTAGTACAAGCAGCCGCACATACACATACACACGCATGCATGTCGTCATATGAGTGAAATATTCTCAAGCACGAGGTTAAACCCAATTTCACTTCCCCCACCTCCCCACCTCCCCGGACGCATTAAGTAGTGAAATGTGCATAGGGTATTGAAACTCGGGTATAAATGAAGTGTGCACCCCTCCTTTTCTCAATAGTGTGCACACACACACACACACACACACACCCCCCCCTTTCTCAAAAAGCTGTATCCGCCCCTGATGTGTGTGACAAAACAGTGCATGTAAACGAGAGAAACTAGTCATGTGCACAGTCACTAGTCATGTAATCTGAAGGAAAGTATTTTGGGTATATTAACCAAATATTTATGATTGCATGTCTAGTTGATTTCATTCACCGTTTGACGAAATAAGGGGGAAGAAGATTTTTCTTTCTGTTCAGCCCGAAAACGACATTTGTAGTTTATAACACTCTAAAGCCACTATTATCAGTAAGTAGTCAATAGAGGGGTACTGACTCTCAGCTGTTACCATGGATACAGAGATAACACCGTGTAAATACAGATAGTAGTTATACAACAGCGCCTCTCAATGTTAGTGTCGAACCAACTCTCTACTCGAGAGTAGCATAATGGCATACTCAAATATAACTTGCAGTAACTATTACCAAGTTGTATTGACATACCATTCGAATGGTGTATGGTATGCATACATGCTCAATTTCCTAAACATATAAACTTTAAGTAGTTAATGTGCCTCAAACAGAGAATTCTGCAAGTTAGAAAAATATCGGTTAAATTTCTCTGCTCACAACCACCCAATTAACAGTAACTTTGACTCTCGTTACAAAAACGACATGAAAACCTTTTTTTCTGATTGAGGACCTATCGTACACTGAAAACGGGACAAAAAGTATACTGGACAAAAATAGTTAGGGATATATGCAAATTTTGAAATAATGAATAATGATCTATTTATTCATTGACACACTGATAAAATATAAATCATAAAAATACCAATATCCCTAACTTATTTTGTCCAGTATATATATCGTAACTGGATTTCTTGGGCCGATGGGATGAAGAAAAACCTCTCGTCTACAGGTATTCATTTCTGTTTTCTCATCGATTGAAGTGTGTCAATCAAATTGCAATCTTTACACGTATTTAAACCAGTTTGCACCTAGTGCATGTTAGTATTTTGCTGTTCAAAGAACACAGACTTCATCTTGGAAACAGAAAGATGTGGAACTGGCTTGTGACTCAGAGCAGTGACTACACGGTCAATGACTGTGTCTGTTCAAGTCATGACATACATGTATATATATAATGTAATCTTATCAGATATAGAATGTTTTGGTTACAATGATGTTCTAAATCATTAATTTTCAAAACCCCAATTTCATACTTTTGTTTGGGATTCAAAGTTCCTGCCTAAGGCTGAACTAAGTGCAAATAAGTTTTATTTCTTGCAATCGAACCCAACAATAAATTGGTATAAATGGTTTTGGGAGATACTGAGAAGTATGCACTCGTCAAACGAGATTTTCGTTAACTTTCGACAAGGATTTTAGATGAAAGTGGTGTAAATTGTTAAGATAACAATGAAGAGCGCCAAGTTTGTTTTCCGTATGGAATATGATACGGGATTTGTGTGGTTCAATGTAAAAAATAATTAACCATAACTCTTGAAATTGGGACTAATTTAGTGAATTTTCATGAATCATATATTATATTCTACAATTTTGGTGACATTACACGTTGGCATAAACCTCAAGGCGTCATTTGAAAACAGATGAGATGACATCGAACATGCGATTTTGGGGGGACGAACGATTTCAAATATTGTTTCTAATAAATAGTTTTCAATTTGCTATCGAGCTCATATCTACCAATAAAAGAATACGAATGTTTGACATCAGAGATATGTTATATTTGGGATTACACTTTCCTAGTAAAGTACAGATTCTAGTACTTTTGTTGGGTTGAGTCCCATCCGGGATTCGAACCCACCTACTAAGAAAGTGTAATCCCAAATATATCATATGTTACATTTCACAGCTTTCTAAATGGCATTGTGTAGTAATCGGAGATATGCTTATCAAATAGGTCAGAACAAACATAACGGTTTATACAGATTCCTAAGATGACTCAATTACGATATTTCCGCTCCACACCGCAAAGCACCGTAACGCAATGCAACGCAACTCAACGCACAACATATAGAACACCGGTACCATACACCACACCACACAACACAATACAATACTTACCACAGAACACAACACCACACATAACACTAGGCCACAACACACCACACCAGTAACAGTCCAATCACAGATTTGAGGGGCGTAGG